TCTGTGAATCTTCTTCGAACACGATCTCGTAATTGTGGTTGCAAGAAGCTATACCTCTTGTTAGCCACCTTGACATTGCCTTTGGAGAAGGTATACACCTGACAGGAGAGGGTACGTCTGAATCAACTCATTTCAGCCCACCTTCCCTTTCTGGAGTAGCTTATCGAATTTTTCAGCAGCTGCATTAAAGAAGGACCCTCTAATCTCGCTGCCCTACCGTGCGACAAAGTTTCCAGACCGGAAGGGTCTCCATCTTACTTCTTTGTCTAGAAGGTCAACGCTGAAGACCGATCCTCCGCCACGAGCATTGGTGAAGTGTCGGACAGGCGACTGGACAACAGACAAGAATGAGTTGTAAGTTAGTGCGTCACCACTATCGGTACCTTAGCAGTAACCCTGGCCTTGATAGTCCAGTTCCTCATCGAGTATGAGGAAATCTCGCGGATGGGAAAGTAAGTTGTCATTCAACTTCAAGAAGCACTGCCCAAATGAATGTGCGTACCAGCGAGGCTTCAATCAAGCTCGAGGTTGGGTTGTCATATTTTGCAAACTTTGCAACACTACCGCGCCCTTTTGATCGATTCGCTCGTGATGAATCCTAGGCGTGCCCATTTGATGCCTCCAAGATCACGAGTTGCGGGGAGACGTAGTAAATCATTTTGTCGACGCACTGTTCATATCTATTATACACTCGGAGAATAATCGAGCCGCTATGATTGCTGTGATTCTATTTCCTTGACTCGAAAGTACTTGAGGAAAAATCACGGTCTACCGCATCCACTTGTTTCGAATACTTATGAGTCTTCCGAGTGAATTATACACCTCATCGCGGTCTTCATGACCCATAATTGTAATCTCATCATACAACAGGGATACTAAAGATAGAATATTTTCCGCGTGCAACTAACTTTCATGACTGTGTCTCGCATTAACTGGAGAGAAAACTTCTAGCTAGTCTACATTCGTATCGTGTCGTTCATACCCAAGAACTCGTATCGCAATGAAAACTATACTTGCCCTCGTTGGAGGACGGCGAACTACCGTCGACAGCTAATGAACGGCGGATCATGCGTTCTTGTCGAGTGCATTGTGTAATTGTCTGCTAAGCTCAGCTCTAGCACGCTCAATCCATCCGACTTATCTTCACTATTCACCTCATATTTATTTCTATTAACGATGTCGTCATCTAACAAGGCTCTTCAGTACTGGCTATCCTTAGATTTCTATAAGGCCACCCGTGATGAGGCGTCTTCCTTTAGCGAGGAGGATATCGCCGAGCACTTGAATCCCGAGAAGCGTTTGGTTTTCGGCACTGCCGGTCTCCGTTCTCGTATGGGTGCCGGTTTCGACCGTATGAACTGCCTCACGGTGATGCAGGCTTCTCAGGGCCTCTGCAGATACCTTGAAGGGCAGTTTGGCAAGGAAGCTCTTGCCAAGCGCGGTGTTGTCTTCGGCTTTGATGGTCGTTACAACTCCAGACGTTTTGCTCACGTTGCGGCTGCTGTGTTCCTTTCCCAGGGTGCTAAGGTCTACTTGTATGACAAGGCTACTACATGCACTCCTTTCAACCCTTACTTGGTTAAGAAGTACAACTGCTGTGCCGGTGCTCAGGTCACTGCTTCTCACAACCCCAAGATGGATAACGGCTACAAGGTCTATGCTGCTAATGGTGCTCAGATCATACCTCCCATGGATAGTCAAATTTCTGATTCCATTGCTAAGAATCTTGTTCCATGGAAGGAGGCTCTCGAGCTCTTGGATGTTGATGGAGAGTGTTATCTTAAGGACACGTCTAAGATCATCGATCCCTATGATGATGTTCTCTTGACTTATCTCGACCAGATGTATCATGAGCTGTGCCGATTCCCTGAAGAGAACAAGAAGTGCACCTTGAAGTTCGCTTACACTGCCATGCATGGTGTCGGTCTTCCCTTCACTACTGGACTGTTGAAGAGGTTCAACATCCCTGATGAGTGCATTAAGGTTTTCGAGCCCCAGGCTCA